TCTTGTCTCTCTCTCTCCCTCTCTCCGGTCACTCTCTCTGCTCTCTTTCTCTCGCTCTCTCTCAGCTGGTATCTCTCTCTGGTTTGACAGTAAATAGGTGGGATATCTCTGGGTTTGTGAGCAGAGAGAGAAAGCAGATGTGGGGCTGGGGGGGGGGGAGGAGGGGGAGGGACAGGGTGAGGCACAGATAGGAAATGGTTTGGATTTTTGACAGACGGATCCAAAAGCTGCACGGAAATCCCCAAGACCTCCAAACCTTCCCACTCCTGCACGAGCCACGAGAATATAATCTACACAACAGTTCATGGAGGAAACGGACCAATCACAACAGATATATTTAAAATAACAATATGTAAGATTTTTATCATTAAAGGGCCCTAATCTGTCATTGTTAAAGGGCCCTTATCAGTGATCATCAAAGGGCCCTAATCGTTCATCGTTAAAGGGCCCTAATCTGTTATCATTAAAGGGCCCTAATCTGTCATCATTAAAGGGCCCTAATCTGTCATCATTAAAGGGCCCTAATCTATCATCATTAAAGGGGCCTAATCCGTCATCATTAAAGGGCCCTAATCTTTCATCATTAAAGGGCCCTAATCAGTGATAATTAAAGGGCCCTAATCTGTCATCATTAAAGGGCCCTGATCAGTGATCATTAAAGGGCCCTAATCGTTCATCATTAAAGGGGCCTAATCCGTTATCATTAAAGGGCCCTAATCTTTCATCATTAAAGGGCCCTAATCCGTGATAATTAAAGGGCCCTAATTGGTCATCATTAAAGGGCCCCATTCTGTCATCATTAAAGGGCCCTAATCTGCCGTCATTAAACGACCCTAATCTGTCATCATGAACAGGTCCTAATCTGTCATAATTAAAGGGCCCTAATCAGTCATCATTAAAGGGCCATAATCTTTCATCATTAAAGAGCCTAATTTGTGATCATTAAAGGGCCCTAATCTGTCATAATTAAAGGGCCTAATCTGTCATCATTAAAGGGCCCTAATCTGTCGTAATTAAACGGCCCTAATCTGTCATTGTTAAAAGGCCCTAATCTGTTATCATTAAAGGGCCCTAATCAGTCATCGCTAAAGGGCCCTAATCTGTCATCATCAAAGGGCCCTAATCTGTCAACATTAGAGGGCCTAATCTGTCATAATAATAAACTGCTCTTTTCCAATACTTCTTTAACTGATAGCAGTAGTTCAGAGATATTTGGATTTCAAAATTAGTTTCACAGCCCCTAAATCTTGTTATTGTTTTCATTTCTATGTCCCGCCCTCCACCGTTTCACCAATCAGAAAGTCCGTGATCCGGTTGCCAGAACTCACCGCATGGAGCTAATCTCACTGGTAAAGTACCATGTGGCGCAGAACTAAAAAAGGTCTCGTTATGATTCTCAAATCATTAACAACAAAACAAAGAATGAAAAACAGGATTTCTATCTTTGTGAAAAAGGTGTTGGTTATAGATTTGTTGTTGACAAAACTCTTGTCTATTCAGCTGTTATGGTCCCAGCTGGATTCGTCTGCATATCTGGCAACCTGAGTCAGGGAGAGTGGGAGAGGCTGCAGGACATATTTTTTACACACATTTCAACAACCCTGTTTTATATTTCAGAAGTTATTGCTTTGCCTGGAATGTCCCTCACATGTTTGTTATTAGATTATCCTGAATTATTATATTTCCTGGTCTCTCTTACATAAGACCCATAACTTTGCCTTGGAATAAAACATTTAGATGCAGGAGCTGAAGCCTTTTGTGTGAGACCTGTTCAGGGAATGTTTGACACTATCGTAATAGTCGTAGTTTGGGTAAGTTTGAGTTTATTTTATCAAAGTACCAAGTCAACAGGAGTTTGCATGAATCTGAAGCTACAGAAACCAAACACAAAAATAAACAAATAATAATTTAACGTACAGAGACCCACTTTAGTTCATCAGACTTGACCTGGGGCCGACAATCTGGATTAATAAAAACTGGATTAAAGCTGGATCGACTTGATTCTGAAATTTAAAATGGGTTTTGATACGTCCGTTTTGAGGGTCTGAGATTCAAAGTCTGTACACTCCTGTCAATCATCATTTCCTGCATGTAACGTCTGGGTCTAGTCCCTGAGTTTGCGATTACAATCCGTTGAATCCAATCCGACCAATCAGAGAGCGCGGGAGGCGGGTGTTGTAGTTAGATGTGAGTGACGTCAAGAGTTTGCGTCGAACGGGCAGGTTGTAGTTTGGCGAAGAATGTGAAAGTAAAGTATTCTGTTCTGGTTCTATAAAGAAATTGAAGCCGGAGTAAGAGGAATCAGAATCAGAATCCTTTTATTGCCATGTGAGTAACAGGAAGTCACAAATGGAAATTGCTTTGGCTCTCGGTGCAAACGAGTTCAGCAGAATAAAATCAAAGGCATGCATCAAGAAAAATCTACATATGTTCAGCAAATGTAGTCGCTGCAAAGATTGTGGCGCTACTCCCCACGGGCTCTGTTAGCGGCAAAGGAGATGGCTAAAGCTAGGCTAAATGCTACATGCCTCTCTCACTCGAGCTCATTACAAACTCAGATCCAATCGTTTCAATCTGCAAAAGGAGTTAACCCCTCCCACCTGTTAACGAAGCTCAATGGGGAAATGAAATTTGTACGATGCTGTGGTACAACTAGGCTAGCATGACTGTATTGGTGGAGCTGAAGTTGGCTGGATGACACTGTGCCTCAATGGCGACTTTGTGTTAGAAGCAGAGGGCCAACATCAAATGACACAGAGGGCCGCAATTGGCCCGCGGGCCTGAGTTTGGACATGTCTGATCCAGAGACAGGCCAAGAACATCATCAGAGACTCATGTTCTGTTCTCTCAATACGGACTGATGCATTATGGGAGGAGGTACAGGATTCATACAGTCAATACAAAATGTCATGTGAAAATGTGAATCTTTTATGCAGTTGTTTAATACTACATTAAGCCCCCGCAGAAAAAGCAAGGTTGTGATGTCACTGATGGAGCAGCCTCAATGGGGGGGGGGGGATGCTCTGTGGACTGGGTTCAGCTCTGACTGCCACCCCCGACCCAGACATGGATTAAAGGGAAGACCATGGATGGATAAATGTAGTATTGATAATAATTGAAGGCAGACAGAGGTTAAGTCCATCCAAGAACATCCTTTTGTGACATCACAGACCAGAGCCATGTGTTCAGGACTCACAATCCTGCAGCAGAGGTCAGAGGTCAAAGGAGGCTGGACCATGTATCTATGATTTGTTTTTAAAATATCTTCTTGTTGGAAAGATGAACTCACTTTGTTTCTTGAATTATATACAGTATGCACCTGTCAAAAAATATGCTGCAAACCGTCTCCTTCTCCTCCTCCACAGTGGAAACACGTGTCGGGGGCAGGGATTGAACCTGCAGCAGGAAAGTGGACCATACAGAATAAAAATTTAAAAAAACTTAAAAGGAGAAAAATGGACCAAAACTGAGGCCATTTGAAGCCGAGCAGCGAGCGAGCCCCAGTCACTGTTTGTCATCTGAGTTTCCACATGAGGTCATTGAAAGGAGCAGAGAGAGTTGATTCAAACTCAAAAGACTGGAATATTGTGGTCACAGAAGTCGGATTATGGATTTACCACCAACGAGGAAATAATCTGCATTTTTACACAAACAAAAGGCTCAATAAAGAACCTTTTCTAGTCGTTATATTTAGGAAGTCCTGCTTCTTCCACAGATCTGACCATGGACCGACCTCTCTGTTTACTGACAAGTCTAACTCTGGTCTATCTCCGGTTTCTCTCTCAGATCTCTCTCTGGTCTCTCTCTGGTGTCTCACTCTGGTTTCACTCTGGTCTCTCCCTGGTCTCTCTCAAGTCTCTCTCAAGTTTCTCTGGTCTCTCTCTCTAGTCTCTCTCTAGTCTCTCTCTAGTCTCTCTCTGGTCTCTCTCTAGTCTCTCTCTAGTCTCTCTCTGGTCTCTCTCTGGTCTCGCTCTGGTCTCTCTCTGGTCTCTCTCTGGTCTCTCTCTAGTCTCTCTCTAGTCTCTCTCTGGTCTCTCTCTGGTCTCTCTCTGGTCTCTCTCTGGTCTCGCTCTGGTCTCTCTCTGGTCTCTCTCTGGTCTCTCTCTAGTCTCTCTCTAGTCTCTCTCTGGTCTCTCTCTAGTCTCTCTCTGGTCTCTCTCTAGTCTCTCTCTAGTCTCTCTCTGGTCTCTCTCTGGTCTCTCTCTAGTCTCTCTCTGGTCTCTCTCTGGTCTCTCTCTCTGGTCTCTCTCTAGTGTCTCTCTGGTCTCTCTCTCTGGTCTCTCTCTCTCTCTGCTCTCTCTCCATTCTCTCTCTTCACTCTCTCTCCACTCTCTCTCCGCTCTCTCTCTCCGCTCTCTCTCGCTCCCAAACACACTCCAATTTCTAGTTATAACTTTTTTTTTTACAAGCAAGGTCAAGGCCTTTTCCATCCTCCACATAACTTTTCCAACAGCATATCTCCATCTGCAGAATGTACCTCTGACCTCTTTAGATCCCGACCTCTTTAGACCAGACTCAAACATCGGACCACCACTCCATAAAAAGTGCATTTCCACCCTGCTTTGCCTCCGTCAGACCAGGTCTAAGAGAGAGGATCAGCGCGGGACTATATATCAAGACCATGTCTTGTTGAAAGTCCTATTCCACTTTTCCCGGTGCACTTTAAGATGACGCAGGCTTCGAGATCGAGTTTTACCCATAAACAGACCAGAGGTTAAGTCCATTCAAGAACATCCTACTGTGATGTCACTGACCACAGCCATGTGTTCAGGGCAGTCTCTCTGGTCTCTCTCTCTGGTCTCTCTCTCTCTAGTCTCTCTCTGGTCTCTCTCTCACTGGTCTCTCTCTAGTCTCGCTCTGGTCTCTCTCTCTGGTCTCTCTCTCTAGTCTCGCTCTGGTCTCTCTCTCTGGTCTCTCTCTCTAGTCTCTCTCTGGTCTCTCTCTCACTGGTCTCTCTCTAGTCTCGCTCTGGTCTCTCTCTCTGGTCTCTCTCTCTAGTCTCTCTCTCTCCAGTCTCTCTCTCTGCTCGCTCTCTCTTGCTGGTCTCTCTCTGGCCTCTCTCTCTAGTCTCTCTTTCTGGTCTCTCTCTCTCTCTGGTCTTTCTCTCTAGTCTCTCTGGTCCCTCTCTCTGAACTCTCTCTCTGGTCTCTCTCTCTAGTCTCTCTCTCTGGTCTCTCTCTCTAGTCTCTCTCTCTGGTCTCTCTCTCTAGTCTCTCTCTCTGGTCTCTCTCTCTAGTCTCTCTCCAGTCTCTCTCTCTGGCCTCTCTCTCTCTAGTCTCTCTCTTTAGTCCCTCTCTCTGGTCTCTCTCTCTCTGCCCTCTCTCTATCTAGTCTGTCTCCAGTCTCTCTCTGGTCTCTCTCTCTAGTCTCTCTTTTTAGTCCCTCTCTCTGGTCTCTCTCATGGATTCCTCTGCAGCCGTACCTTTAGGCATGGTGATTTGGCAGCTCAGGTCATAGTCTTGGAGCAGACGGGTGTAGGCTACTTCCTGGAGGCGGGCCCGTTCCAGCTCCGACAGGCTCTGGATGCAGACGGGGGCGAGGCGGACGCTCCGGCCTGACAGGCTGCTCCACGTGAAGTCTCCCTGTCGGAAAACACAACCACACAGCGACACTTTACACCCGTGTCCCGTCATCGTGGACAAGCTTCTGCAGCTCCAGCCCAGGTCCCGTCTCAGCGTTTTTGTTTTCAAAGTCTCAAATCAATAACAACAGTAGCATTAGCGGTGTCTACATGGGCTAAAGAGGAACATCTAAATCTATGAATGAACTTTGAACTGTACCATAAACAAAACATGGACCTTCTCAATAACAGTTTTATGACTCTATAGAATATTCACAGTCAGGTGTTGTTGGTCTAAACCTGGAATAGAGTCTCAAACCTTTTTCCAGGAAGAGCTACTTTTTTGGGACAAAAGTGGCAACGGCGAGCTACAACAGTTTAACTAGATTTGATCTTCTTAAAACAATCAGCTTTAGTCTTAATTCCAGCTCAGATAATGTGAATGTATCTAATTCCTAATTCCTAATTAAGATCTTTGGGAACACCAGATGCCACAGTGAGGCGGCTACGGCTGCATTGCCTAGACTTTGGTTCTGGCTTCTGTCAATGTGCCCCGGGGCAGCTGTGGCTACAGTAGTAGTTTAGCACCATGTTTGGAGTGAATGACATGTAAGCGAGATTCCAGTAAAGCTTATATAAAACCAATGCATTATTATTATTATTATTATTATTACTAAAACAACAATCAGAACTTATTAGTTCAAAAAGTAGGCCTTTTATTTCATTTTTAATTATTATCCTTTGTGGAGCTACTTTGACGAGGTAGCAAATGGTTCAAATCAAAAGTCTATTTTACCATCTACCACCAATGACGTCTGTACACTGCAAACAAATATAAAATATGAGGTAACAATAACTTGAATCGAGTGTTTTTTACCTTCATCTGACTGTGTTTGAACAAGATTCTGTAAATTACAAGATTTTGTAAATTTTGAGCCATTTTTATTATTTCTCATGATTTTTTGTGTACTCTCAACACATTCTCTTGAACGATTAGAAAAGGCGTGTGGTCCATAACATAGAGTAAACCCAGGTCTGTAACGGATCAGTTTGCAATTTTCATTCCACTTGGAAAAATGACATCACATTAATATAGCTTTTGACAGTGCGTTTTCCTCCGACCACATCTAAAGACCGGTCCGCTGCTGTTGGAAAACTCAAACCCGTGCACGTGGACCAGGGACCAGGCCCCATCGCGACTCTACAGCCACTGAGCCTAAAATAAACAGAAGTAACAGTGGAGCTAGATCCAAGTCCAGGACCGTGTCTGTACTTTAGTGTGGCGTGGTTGTGTAAGAAAAAGCCATTCTATCTTAGCCTACACACACACACACACACACACACACACACACACACACACACACACACACACACACACACACAGACACACACACACACACACACACACACACACAGACACACACAGACACACACACAGACACACACACACACACACACACACAGACACACAGACACACACACACACACACACGCACACACACACACACACACACACACACACACACACACACACACACACACACACACACACACACACACACACACACACACATACACAGAGACCAGGACGAGCAGCTAAAAACATACATATTAGTGCTATTAAAGCGGGATTGCATCATCACTAACGACCCCATCTTGTCACGCATTCCTGGGCGTCTACGGCAAGAGGGAGGGGTCAAGAGGAGGGAGAGGTCAGCGAAAAGACGAGACGCAGACGGAAATAAGGAGAGGTTATTTTCAATTTGTGTAATGCCTCAAACCAGACAGAGGGCTTACGACTCGACTCCCAGGTGTCTGTTTACAAATGTGGATTTACCGCCTTAAAAAACGCCGGTGTTTTGCTCATAAATCCAACATGGTACGGGAGTAGAATACAGTGTGATGTATGGACCTGTTTTTGAGGCTGGAGTTACAGGTCTACGGTTGTGTTATGTTATTTACTCGGTTCAAAACTAAAGTCAAAATTATGTTTTTTTAATGTAAATACAAAAATAGGCAAGACACAACTCAAAGCGCTTCACAAAACTAGAAATTCAAATCTTAGTTCACACCACATTACCCTTTTCCGCAATTTTTTTTTCAAGCCGATTTTTGATGATTTTTGACCAGTCCTGTGTCCGGCCCTTTAATATCCGTATATAGTGTATTTTTCATCAACTTTTATTGGATTATTTTGGCTCAAAGGCAGCACAAGGGTTAAAAAGACTCTGACTCTGGGGAACAAACTACTACCATTATAAAGAAATTAGGACTTTTTCAGCGATTCTCTTCCTGTGTATATTTATTATTCAAGTTTGGGCAGGTTTCAGGGGTTATTTGTCTCACAGGCGTAAAACCTGACGTTGTATAATTGACGTTTTATGGTAAAGGAAGACATTACAGGTCAGGCAGTGGTAAAAAATCCTAAACTTTGACTTCTGCCACTGCCTCCAGCTGTGCACTTTTGAGAATTTAGCGCTTTACAGCCACCCCACTGAGGCACCTGGTGTTCCCCGAGGTCTCCCATCACAGCACTATCCAGACCCTGCCCCGCTTAGCTTCAGAGGTCTGACAGGATGTGGCTTTTCCCTGCAGGTATGGCTACGATCATATACAACACACTGAATACAGAATATGTCTCACTAATGTTTCGGCCGGTCAACATCTGTGAGTTTATTCTATCCTTTCTGATTCTCTTCATATGGACATAGGTTCTCGACCCCGGGGCCCTCACGCTCTGCTCGAATTCCTCCGTCTGCGGCTCACAACAAACAAAGCATTTACCACGGCGTGACGGTTTGGTGACAGCGGCCTGGAGTGAGATGTAAAGCTGTTTGGAGCCAGGCCTGCGGAGAAGTTATAAACCGTGAGGCTACGTGTTTGTCGCCATAATAACAGGTTGCTAGGTCTTTCTACGGCAGCGGCTGTTAGCTAACCGAGGCTAAAGGAGCACAGGGACGGGACTCCTGCTAGTGCCCAGAGTCAGGACTAAACATGGGGAGGCTGCTTTTCAGATTCATGCAGCTAATATCTGGAACAATCTGAAAGAAAATGTGAGACAGGCCTCTTCTCTGACAATGTTTAAAACCTGGTTGAAAACAGTTTAGCTGCGTACAACTGAGGGATTTTATATTTTTATCTTTCTTTTTAATGTACTGGGATTATTTATGATTGCTCAGCACTTTGAGATGCCTTGTGTATGAATTGTGCTATACAGATAAACTTGCCTTGCCTAAAGGATCAGAGAGAGGTGGGAGACCAAGCTATTTTTTAATAATAATAATAATAATAATAATACATTGGTTTTATACAGCGCTTTTTTTGGACACCCACTGATGCTTCACATGTCATTACTCTTTCACTCCATACACGGTGGTGATACTACTGTAGCCACAGCTGCCCTGGGGCACACTGACAGAAGTGAAGCAACCAGTATGTGCCATCGGCCCCTCCCACCACCACCAACACATCTGACTCATTCTTGCCCAATGACACGACAACAGCAGGTGGTTGAGGTGGTCTCGAACCCCAAGACTTAAGGCTGAAATTTAATATTCAGAGCAAAATATGATAAAATATGAGGTGATAAATGCTTAAATACAGTGTTTTTTATATAATTTGAGCACATTCTGACTATTTTCTTATTCAAAAAGAGACATTTCTTCTTTTTAAAACAAGATCTTTATGCGTTGTTCCGTTGACCGTGTCCTTGCACTTAAAAGTTACTAAAAATAAGTCAAAATTTGAATTAAGACAAATTTGGCTAAAAGTGTCAGCGCTTTTTGACTGAGCCTTAAAACAAAATGATCTTGTTTTAAGGAAATACAAGAAATCTCTCGCTCGGAATGAACAAATGAAGCAATAGTTCTTGAAATAAGACTAAATGACTTTGTCGCATTAAAGAATGTGTCAGATTAAGATAAAAAACACTTCATTCCAGCATTTTTATTTTGTCTATACATGACTTATAAAACATAAATATATAACAATGTAGGTAATATCATGTAATAATACAGAAATATTGTAAATTGTCTGATAAATACATACAAACACACATGCATATAACATTAAAATCTGCTTGTCTATACATGTTAAGTCTTTGTGATGTAATGTTTATCTATATAGCACATTTTACAGACCAAGGTCGCCCAAAGCGCTTTACCATGTTCAGAAATCAGATATTTTTCCGTTCACAGACGGTGATGACGGAAGCGAGACCAGAGCAGAGACCATCAAAGCCCCAATCAACACCATCCACTCACTCACTGCATTCACACCTATTGTACATGTTTTTAGTGGTACAGGAAACCGGAGCACCTGGAGGAAACCCACACAGACATTGGGAGAACATAAACTCCACTCAGAAAGGCCCTGTTCCGACTGTTCCAAACACACCACACCATTTCATCTAATATTACACAGAAAAGCAACATGACACGGTGAATTTTCTGCGACCGCAAATGTATCAAACTCTTTTTGTTCAGTGTGTGTTCGTGTGTATGTATGTGTGCGTACGTGTGTATGTATGCCTGTGTGCGTATATATGTGTGTCTGTGCATGCCTGTGTGTGTGTGTATATATGTGTGTGCGTGTATGTATGTGCGTGTGTGTGTGTGTGTGTGTGTGTGCGTGTGTATGCCTGTGTGTGTGTATATATATATGTGTGTCTGTGCATGACTGTGTGTGTGTATATATATATGTGTGTGTGTGTGTGTGTGTGTAAGCCTGTGTGTGTGTGTGTGTGTGTGTATGCCTGTGTGTGTGTGTATATATATGTGTGTGTGTGTAAGCTTTTGTGTGTGTGTGTGTGTGTGTGTGTGTGTATGCCTTTGTGTGTGTGTATGCCTGTGTGTGTGTGTATGCATGTGTGTGTGTATGCCTGTGTGTGTGTGTATGCCTGTGTGTTTGTGTGCGTGTCTTTCTCTGGATTTACTGCTGTTTAATGAGGAGAGGAGGCTGCTCTAAAGTGTGGCTCTCATTCTTCTCATGAGAAACTGAAGTCCAAGTCCCCGAAGCTCAAACACACACATTATTTACAGCCCGAGTCCACAATTATCACATATTTACAGCAGATCCAGACAATTGTGCGGCTCGAGGACCTCCACAGACCGTCTGAGCGACTCTAGTGTTGGAATATTCATGCCGCTGTCAATCCAAAGTGAATTAAGAAAAACGCCCGGAATGTTCCACAAGTTCCAAGAACGAGATGTGGAGACGAGACCGTGCTCTATAATTAAAGTGTGTGTGAGATGTTTTTGGTCAGAGACACGTTAGGGATGGATAGAATCGTTTGGGTCTGGATATGTCGGTGTTTTTGTGGCCCAAGTCCAAGGACGGTTTTTGGTTCTCGACAAAATTATCTTTTTATGGTTCCAGGACAGGTCTGTTGGTTTCTCACAGACCATTACATGTGAACTGGTCCTCCTGGGTCTACAGTCTCAGTCCTGGGTCTACAGCCTCAGTCCTTCACCTCCTCTCTCTCCTTCACCTCCTCTGTCTCCTTCACCTCCTCTCTCTCCTTCACCTCCTCTCTCTCCTTCACCTTCTCTCTCTCCTTCACCTCCTCTCTCCTTCACCTTCTCTGTCTCCTTCACCTCCTCTCTCTCCTTCACCTCCTCTGTCTCCTTCACCTCCTCTCTCTCCTTCACCTCCTCTCTCTCCTTCACCTTCTCTCTCTCCTTCACCTCCTCTCTCTCCTTCACCTTCTCTGTCTTCTTCACCTCCTCTCTCTCCTTCACCTCCTCTGTCTCCTTCACCTTCTATGTCTCCTTCACCTCCTCTCTCTCCTTCACCTTCTCTGTCTCCTTCACCTCCTCTGTCTCCTTCACCTCCTCTCTCTCCTTCACCTCCTCTCTCTCCTTCACCTCCTCTGTCTCCTTCACCTCCTCTGTCTCCTTCACCTCCTCTGTCTCCTTCACCTCCTCTGTCTCCTTCACCTCCTCTCTCTCCTTCACCTCCTCTGTCTCCTTCACCTCCTCTGTCTCCTTCACCTCCTCTCTCTTCTTCACCTCCTCTGTCTCCTTCACCTCCTCTGTCTCCTTCACCTCCTCTGTCTCCTTCACCTCCTCTCTCTCCTTCACCTCCTCTGTCTCCTTCACCTCCTCTGTCTCCTTCACCTCCTCTCTCTCCTTCACCTCCTCTTTCTCCTTCACCTCCTCTGTCTCCTTCACCTCCTCTCTCTCCTTCACCTCCTCTCTCTCCTTCACCTCCTCTGTCTCCTTCACCTCCTCTGTCTCCTTCACCTCCTCTGTCTCCTTCACCTCCTCTGTCTCCTTCACCTCCTCTCTCTCCTTCACCTCCTCTGTCTCCTTCACCTCCTCTGTCTCCTTCACCTCCTCTGTCTTCTTCACCTCCTCTCTCTCCTTCACCTCCTCTGTCTCCTTCACCTCCTCTGTCTCCTTCACCTCCTCTCTCTCCTTCACCTCCTCTCTCTCCTTCACCTCCTCTCTCTCCTTCACCTCCTCTGTCTCCTTCACCTCCTCTCTCCTTCACCTCCTCTCTCCTTCACCTCCTCTGTCTCCTTCACCTCCTCTCTCTCCTTCACCTCCTCTCTCTCCTTCACCTCCTCTCTCTTCTTCACCTTCTCTGTCTCCTTCACCTCCTCTCTCTCCTTCACCTCCTCTGTCTCCTTCACCTCCTCTGTCTCCTTCACCTCCTCTGTCTCCTTCACTTCCTCTCTCTCCTTCACCTCCTCTGTCTCCTTCACCTCCTCTCTCTCCTTCACCTCCTCTCTCTCCTTCACCTCCTCTCTCTCCTTCACCTCCTCTGTCTCCTTCACCTCCTCTGTCTCCTTCACCTCCTCTCTCTGCTTCACCTCCTCTGTCTCCTTCACCTCCTCTGTCTCCTTCACCTCCTCTGTCTTCTTCACCTCCTCTGTCTCCTTCACCTCCTCTGTCTCCTTCACCTCCTCTGTCTCCTTCACCTCCTCTGTCTCCTTCACCTCCTCTGTCTCCTTCACCTCCTCTCTCTTCTTCACCTCCTCTGTCTCCTTCACCTCCTCTGTCTCCTTCACCTCCTCTGTCTCCTTCACCTCCTCTCTCTCCTTCACCTCCTCTGTCTCCTTCACCTCCTCTGTCTCCTTCACCTCCTCTCTCTCCTTCACCTCCTCTCTCTCCTTCACCTCCTCTGTCTCCTTCACCTCCTCTCTCTCCTTCACCTCCTCTCTCTCCTTCACCTCCTCTCTCTCCTTCACCTCCTCTGTTTCCTTCACCTCCTCTCTCTCCTTCACCTCCTCTCTCTCCTTCACCTCCTCTGTCTCCTTCACCTCCTCTCTCTTCTTCACCTCCTCTGTCTCCTTCACCTCCTCTCTCTCCTTCACCTCCTCTGTCTCCTTCACCTCCTCTGTCTCCTTCACCTCCTCTGTCTCCTTCACCTCCTCTCTCTCCTTCACCTCCTCTGTCTCCTTCACCTCCTCTGTCTCCTTCACCTCCTCTCTCTCCTTCACTCTCTCTCTCCTTCCTTCCTCCTCTGTCTCATTCACCCCCTCTCTCTCCTTCACCTCCTCTCTCTCCTTCACCTCCTGTCTCCTTCACCTCCTCATTCTCCTTTCTTCTTTACCTCCTCTCTCTCCTTTACCTCCCCTTTACCTCTTTCTGCTTCTCCTTCTCCTTTACCTCCTTTTCCTCTCTCTCTCTCTTCCACCTCCTCTTCCCTTTTTCACATCGCTCCCTCAGACATGTCCAAAAGTGCTTCTCACCTCCGGCGTAACCTTTAAGAACCCGGGGATGACTCCTTAATGAACTCCTTCACTGCTTCACTCCTTCACGCCGCTGTCACGTCTGTCCACAGCTTTGAGGAGGTGCAGACAGGACCTCCTTCCGACAGAGGTGTGAGGTGCACCTTGACACCCCCCGAGCCCAGCACTTATAATTGGGGCAGATTGGAGCAGAGAAACGGTGGGTTAGCGAAGCCGGGGTTTGGGTATACGGCGTGTCACAACAGACGCGACGAGAGAGAGACGAAGAGGCGAGAGCGCTGGAAGTGCAATTAGTGCCAGGGTAAATACCAGGAAGGCCTCGGTGTGGGATCGGGAAGACACACCAGCAATGCCGTATTTACCATCAGAGAACTGCTGGTATCACATGATAGTCATCTGTATTTAAAGTAAGAGGAAAAACTATTGTGGGTTGTTTTCACCGCAGTGATCAGTTTAGAGGACTCCCACTGTCGGGTCTCTCTCCCTGGTCTCTCGCTCTTACCTTTCTTTGGACTCTCTCTATCTCTGGTGCCTGGTCTATTTATGGTCTCTCTCTGTGCTCTCTCTTGTCTCTCTCTGGTGCCTGGTCTATTTCTGGTCTCGCTATGTGCTCTCTCTTGTCTCTCTCCGATGCCTGGTTTCTCGCTTTTCTCTTTCTGGTTCCTGGTCTCTTTCTGCTCTCTCCCTTTGCTCTCTTTTGTCTGTCTCTGGTCTCTCTCTCTCTGCTCTCTCTAGTCTCTCTCTGCTCTCTCTCTCTCTCAGTTTTCTCTCTCTCTCTCTGTTTTCTCTCTCTCTCTGTTCTGTCTAGTCTCTCTCTGCTCTCTTTCTCACTCAGTTTTCTCTCTCTCTCTGCTCTCTCTAGTCTCTCTCTGCTTTCTCTCTCAGTTTTCTCTCTCTCTGCTTTGTCTAGTCTCTCTCTGCTTTCTCTCTCAGTTTTCTCTCTCTCTGCTTTGTCTAGTCTCTCTCTGCTCTCTCTCTCAGTTTTCTCTCTCTCTCTCCGCTCTCTTTCTCTGCTCCCTCTAGTTTCTCTCTCTCTGCTCTCTCTAGTCTCTCTCTCTCTGCCCTCTCTCTTCTCTCTCTCTCTCTGCTCTCTCTCTTCTCTCTCTCTGCCCTTTCTCGTCTCTCTCTCTCTGCCCTCTCTCCTCTCTCTCTCTCTGCCCTCACTCTTCTCTCTCTCTCTCTTCTCTCTCTCTCTGCTCTTTCTCTTCTCTCTCTCTCTGCTCTCTCTAGTCTCTCTCTCTCTGCCCTCACTCTTCTCTCTCTCTCTGCTCTCTCTCTCTCTCTCTCTCTCTGCTCTCTCTAGTCTCTCTCTCTCTGCCCTCACTCTTCTCTCTCTCTCTGCCCTCTCTCTTCTCTCTCTCTCTCTGCCCTCACTCTTCTCTCTCTCTCTGCTCTCTCTCTTCTCTCTCTCTCTGCCCTCTCTCTTCTCTCTCTCTCTCTGCCCTCACTCTTCTCTCTCTCTCTCTGCTCTCTCTCTTCTCTCTCTCTCTGCCCTCTCTCTTCTCTCTCTCTCTGCTCTCTCTAGTCTCTCTCTCTCTGCCCTCCCAAGCTTTCCTGATACAGTCCTGGGTTGACAATAGGTTAAAAAAAACAGGGCCACAGTGGTAAAATATTGAAAGAAAATGTGCTTTTATCGCACGGCCAAGATCGACCAGACCAGTATCTCCTTATGTAGACCACGGTAGACTTTAGACCCCCCCCCCTTCCGTGCCCCCGGTCCCGGTTATTAATATTCACCGATAGCGGACGCATGTTTGTTTGGCGGAGTGTTTGTGCTCCGTGTTGTGTGCTCATGTCTGCGCATTTGTTTGTTTAAAATGAAGTCAATATTAGCTCAGTACGTCACCGGCAAATACGGCAAAGGATTTTCAGTCGCAAATCCAGCTGTTATTAACTGTATGAAGCTATAGGGTCCCGGGGGAAATGTGATTATTTGATGTATTTAAAAATGAAATACAGAAAAGAAAATTGTACTTTTAGTTATAATTAAAAAACGTGAATGAATAATGACATGTGAAGCGTCTTTGAGTGTCAAAAAAAGCGCTATATAAAACCGATGCATTATTATTATGTCTCTTGCTCTCTCTGCTTTCTCTCTCTCTCTCTGGTCTCTCTTTAGTTTCTCTCTGGTTCCTCTTTAGTCTCTCTCCGCTCTCTCTCTCAGTTCCTCTCTCTCTCTCTCTGCTCTCTCTAGTCTCTCTCTCTCAGTTTTTTTCTCTCTCTATCTGCTCTCTTTAGTCTCTCTCTCTCTGCTCTCTCTTTGGTTTCTCTCTGGTCTCTCTCTCTGGTTCCTCTTTAGTCTCTCTCTGCTCTCTCCCTCTAGTCTCTCTCTCTCTGCCCTCTCTATTCTCTCTCTCTCTGCCCTCTCTTAGTCTCTCTTTCTCTTCTCTCTCTAGTCTCTCTTTAGTCCCTCTCTGCTCTCTCTCCCTAGTCTCTCTTTATGGTCTCCATCTTAGACAATCAAAACATTTTCTTTTCTTCAGTGCTGTCTTGAAGGAGAGAACATTAAGTGATTACACCAAGGCCAAACTAACAACCTGAAGTTACACACAGTTGCGATGACGAATGACAAAGACGCACAAACCTCCACCTCTCTCCTCTCACTGCCGCCGCCGCTGCTTCTGCCGATCGTCAGACTGTGAGCGAAGACGCCGCTACTCTTAAAAACACATGATATATTTAGCCGTCCGTATGGCGCGGCATCTGGGGTCTGCGGCGCACGGCGGGCTGTCGATCACCACCGCGCAGCGCGAGAAATGACATCGTGATAGGTTTCCAGCCGGCACGGTGTGTGATGTGGGGAGTGTGCCGACGTGGGCTGATGTGGGCTGAGGTGGGCTGAGGTGGGCTGATGTGTGCTGATGGGGGCTGATAGGTGCGGTCACGCCAGGTATGTGTTTGAGTGTTATGTTTCGAGAGGTTTGGATGAATAAAAAAATCAAAAATAACAAAACAAGTCTCTCTCTCTCTGGTCTATCTCTACTTTCTCTCTAGTCTCTCTCTCTCTCTGATCTCTCGCTGATCTCTCTCTCTGGTCTCTCTCTAGTCTCTCTCTCTGGTCTCTCTCTCTCTGGTTTCTCTCTCTGATTTCTCTCTAGTCTCTCTCCCTGGTCTCTCTCTAGTCTCTCTCTCTGGTCTCTCTCTCTGGTTTCTCTCTAGTCTCTCTCCCTGGTCTCTCTCTGGTCTCTCTCCCTGGTCTCTCTCTAGTCTCTCTCTCTGGTCTCTCTCTCTGGTCTCTCTCTAGTCTCTCTCCCTGGTCTCTCTCTAGTCTCTCTCTAGTCCCTCTCTCTGGTCTCTCTCTCTGGTCTCTCTCTAGTCTCTCTTTCTGGTCTCTCTCTCTGATCTCTCTCTAGTCTCTCTCCCTGGTCTCTCTCTAGTCTCTCTCTCTCTGGTCTCTCTCTAGTCTCTCTCCCTGGTCTCTCTCTAGTCCCTCTCTCTGGTTTCTCTCTGGTCTCTCTCTAGTCTCTCTCTCTTGTCTCTCTCTGGGCTCTCACTCTGATCTTTCTGGTCCCTGTCTTTTACTTTTCATGTTTTTGATGTGGGGAGTGGGCAGATGTGGGCCGACATAGGCTGATGTGTGCTGATGTGAGCTGAATCCGTGTATCATTCGTTCTTTTGATTTTCTAAATAAAACCAACATTGAAAAAACGAATAACGAGGGATGTTTTTGATTCTCAATATTTGAATTTAATGCAAAATAGAAATATTGGTTTGTTTTTTGTTTTCTGTGGATCCAATTAAAACGAAAATGCAATAAACCAATAATGACCGTCTAAATTACATTTTGCGATTTTCCTTTGAAACACAAACGTCCCCCGGAAGTGATTCGAAAGTGCGAGTTTATCACTAGAACAGGAAGTGTCGCCTCCAGGTACTTGGATCGCACCTTGTTAGCGCTGGCTGTAGGAGAAATGTCTCTTAATACTCTCCTCAACATCAGTCAGATTACCAGCTTTTTCGTTCGCTGCTGCACAGACCATCGCAGATGAGAATTCTCAGATTCACGAGAGAAGTGTTTTCTTCGATTAAAAATATATACACAAGTGTCAAGGTAAGACATAACTTAGCAACTAGCGCTAACAGCTAAGTTAGCGTTAGCTACGACACATTTAGCTTAAGCACATACATGAAACACTTACACATGTAACAAATGCACCTAATTTGGGTGCTTTATATTATAAATGTATGTTATAGACTTTCATATTATATAAGAACATGATATGTGTGTGTATTGGTGAAAGTAATTATGCTAAATTTTAGTAAATAAAAGATGATGCTAGATGTACCTTAACCATTCAATTGTGCTTTGTTTCTGCTTCATTCTCAATTATTGTCGAGGGACAGTAGTTAGAGCTAGATGCTTCAGGCGTATGAAGAGAAACGAGGAGCCCTCAGACTACCAGTTTTGAAACAGTCAGAAAGACAGCAGTTTTGAAACAGTCAGAAAGACTGCAGGTTGGAAACAGTCAGAAAGACTGCATGTTGGAAACAGTCAGAAAGACTGCAGGTTGGAAACAGTCAGAAAGACTGCAGGTTGGAAACAGTCAGAAAGACTGCAGGTTTGAATCAGTCAGAAAGACTGCAGGTTTGAAACAGTCAGGAAGACTGCAGCTTTGAAACAGTCAGAAAGACTGCAGGTTTGAAACAGTCAGAAAGACTGCAGGTTTGAAACAGTCAGAAAGACTGCAGGTTTGAAACAGTCAGAAAGACTGCAGGTTGGAAACAGTCAGAAAGACTGCAGGTTTGAAACAGTCAGAAAGACTGCAGGTTGGAAACAGTCAGAAAGACTGCAGGTTGGAAACAGTCAGAAAGACTGCAGGTTGGAAACAGTCAGAAAGACTGCAGGTTGGAAACAGTCAGAAAGACTGCATGTTGGAAACAGTCAGAAAGACTGCAGGTTGGAAACAGTCAGAAAGACTGCAGGTTGGAAACAGTCAGAAAGACTGCAGGTTTGAAACAGTCAGAAAGACTGCAGGTTGGAAACAGTCAGAAAGACTGCAGGTTGGAAACAG